CAAGCATCGTCTGCTAGCGACACCGATGGAGAAAGCCAACCCGAACGAATGCACCGAAGAGCTACAGGCTCTACGACAACACGATCTAGCATGTCATCAGGTAGACATGTTAGCCATACGCACTACCTCGACTACACCTCGACCCACGAACCCCTCATCCCAGCTTCTTTCTCGATCGTGCGATCATCGTGTCTGCGAACACTTTCTCTAGAGACATTACCACGCGCCCCGGCAAACCCAACGCCAAGTGCATCGCCGCAGTCAAGCAATATGCCAGCTTTTGTCACGACACATAGCGCTGGGGCTGCAGCTTCTGGAGGCCCCATCTTCTTTGGCGATCCAGTCAATGGCTACACGACAGCATACATCTTTCGTATCCCTGATATGCATGCTCGCGGTCACAAGCGTGTCTATGCATTTCTAGCTCTTAGCACACACAAGGAGCGGTTGGCGATGAAGACGTTTGGTTTCATGGCTGCCGCCTTCCGTGACCTTGCCTCTTGGATACAACAATTGGCTGAAGCTGAGGCGGAGAAGGCTGCCGAAGCCAGTCCCCTCGGAGGACCCCAGCACCACAGCTCTTATCCTACGATGATCAAGCCTGAACGAGAAGGACAAGACCGTGGTGGTAGCAGCTTCCTTACGGGGGGTGGTGGCTTCTCGAGGAGAATGGGCGGTGGTCCCGGCGGTGTCTCTCTCAAGGCCCGAGGCCTCGCTGAGCTTGTCGGTATGCCCGACTTCTTTATTGAGCTGCATGCCAAGTTTGTAAAGCTTATGCTTGAACTTGGCGTTGCGCTGAGCTCTTGATTGCTGTAACGGCAGCAGCACACATACGTTCACAACACAGAATCACTGCTTTTGTCATCGACGACTCTAGGCAGGTGAAGACGTAATTCGCACGAACATGTCCTCGTACGAATTACCTACAATTATGGTGGTGTGGCGGGCTTACACCGGTCTGACCTCAACACTGAAGCAGATGCGGCCAGAACCAAAGCAGTAATGGGTAATGATAATCGTAATTACCTTGCCCGCTGCTCGAACAGAGAGGAGGAGAGTATGGGAAGGAGTGGACGCGAAGGGACGACGGATATACCCCCTATTGAGATGGTAGGCATCTCATTTGCATTAGGACTTTTTGCATCAGCGAACGGCGGCATCGCTTTCATGTCTTTTTTTTTTTTACGAGCGTTTTCACGACTAAGCAGGCAGGCAGACAGGGCATGACTTTGATAGACATTGGGACTGTTATTCTTCTTTCTAGCCATGGGCTTCATGGTTCACGGTTTTCTTTCTTCATGTTAATTCCTCTCCCTGATTCTCCCGAGAGTAACGACATTAGACTTTCACAGCGAAAGCTTCCAGGCTCACGTCTGTGGAAACAGGATGAGTGGGTAAAAAGACAAGGAAAAATGAGAGAAAAAGGAAAGCGGAAAAGGGAAAAAGGTCATCAACGCAATAGAACCGAGGGAATTATCGGATCCGGAAAAGTATTGGAAAAAGGGAAAAGGGGTTCTTGGCAAAATCAGAATTACCCAGAGTAGTGATACTCAATCAACGAGATCGCGATCCATCTCAGCTTGTCCATACTTTGTCAGTGACCTGTTTGTGCATATACAATAATCTAGGATCAAGAGCCCTCATCCATGACGGCCCAGAAAAAAAGGAGGTCGTCAAAGTATACTTCGTTTGACAAGTTGTTCCATGTAAGGGAGACAAGATATGTAGGCCGACGGATACGGTAATGGGGATCGAAAAGAAAGATGATATATGATGTGATTCTTTGTTTTGTTTCCGGTATCCGTCCGTACCTATCGAGTGGAACCCCCACCCCCTCCCTCTCCTTTCGATAAGGCAGATCCGGCCGGCCTTCCGGTTGAAAGTAAACCGCAACTGGAGTTTTCGGCTGATGCCGAGTGGTCGAGTCCGGGTGTTTGACCCTCTACTCGCTGCCGCGGTCTACGACGGCCACGGCAACGACGACAACGATAATCGGCCTCGACACATCAGTACTAGACATTGCTCATAAAACATCTCAAGGTCACTCACTACATTGGCAACTCCTTCTCGTAACTCTGCTTCTTCACTTTCTTGTAACACTCTTTCCTTTTCTTTGTATCTTTGTATCTTGACATTTAATCACTCCAGAAAGCCAGATTCGAGATATAACAAAAATCCAAGCCGAGGTACGAGAAAGGATTATTTTCGCCTGCCGTTTCCTCTTCTCTCTCATACTTGGAAAACCAATAGGTTGGCTTGGACGAAAATCTACTTAAAAATCACTCAAACCCTTCGTCATCAAGACAGTGTGTTCTTAGGACTTCTCCTTCCCGCTTTCCGCTTCCTACTTATAACCCCAAAGGGGGATAGCAAGATCTGACACTCACTTCGAATTTTGCCGTCAGCTTTGCAGGGAGGCATGCGTGATGGGAAATCCGCGTTACCAAACTCGAATCTCGACCGCATCTCTACTAAAAGTTGAAGGCATACTCAAATACTGGCAAAATTCATGGAGGGAAATAGAAGATAGCACTGCTTAGGAACGCCAACATTGGCGTAAATTCTCCAGTACACGCGTGAAACGGGTGCAAGTATTCAAGCGGCAACGCAACTTCTTTATCGAGTGTATTGTATTGTACAACGCGACGCCAAGCCTCGCTCCCCGAAGCCTTGTAAAGTCTATGCAGTCCTTTCCCAGCCGTGCCCTTCGTGACATTACGTTGCCAGCCTGGCAGCGAGCTCTGTTCGTTCCTCCCACGATGCGCCGTATCCGCCTGCGCCTCCCCCGGAGGACCAGTCGCTTATTTGTAGAAATCAAACTTGTTCTCGTCGCTCGTGCCCTTGACCTGGCTTGAGTAGGCATCCTCCAAATCACTCTGGATGATGTTGTAGCGGTTCTTCCGCACGGCGCGAAGACCAGCCTCCTGCATGATGGCAGCGATGACGGCACCACTGAGAGGGTCGTTGCGAACAATCAAAGAGTCCATGTCGACCTCGGGAGCCAAGCTCATCTTGCTAGCAATGGTGGAGAAAATGAGACGGCGCTCGCGTCTGTCTCTCAAGCTGGGGAACTCAATCTTTCTGTCCAGACGACCGGGACGGAGAAGGGCAGGGTCGAGGGTGTCGGCTCTGTTCGTGGCCATGATGACCTTGACGTTGGCGGTCTGGTCGAAACCGTCCATCTGGTTGAGAAGCTCGAGAAGAATACGCTGAACTTCACGATCGGCACCAGTCTGAGCATCGAAACGTTTCGTCGCAATGGCGTCGATCTCATCGATGAAGATTATGGCGGGGGCGTTCTCGCGGGCCATACGAAAGACGTCACGGACCATACGAGGACCCTCACCGAGATACTTCTGCACAAACTCAGATCCAACAACACGGATGAAGTTGGCCGTCGTGGAGTTCGCCACAGCCTTGACCAGCATCGTCTTTCCCGTTCCCGGAGGGCCGTAGAGCAAGACACCACGAGGGGGATCGATACCAATCTGCTTGTAGAGGTCGAAGTGCGTCAACGGCAGCTCGACAGCCTCGCGAATCTCCTGCTTTTGCATATCCAGACCACCAACGTCGGCGTAGGTCACATCGGGCTTCTCATCGGCGCCAAGCATGGCAATGGACGAGTCCGCTTCGGGAGGGAGGATGTCGACGAGGGCGTTGGAGTGGCGGTGGAGGGCGACGGAGGAAGAGGGCTTGAGCTTCTCGCGGTCGAGGGTGGAAAGGATGCGGACGACATAATTCGAACCCGTGGATGACTGTACGATTCCGGTGCTGTGATAAGTTAGCATTATTGAGCTCGCAACGGGAGCTGTCTGCGGGGTCTGCATACTTCTGGTCGATGGCCTCCATAAATTGTCCAATAACCAAGGGGACACTCTGGATTCGCTTGATCTCCTCTTGAGCCCGGACAAGCTCGCGCTTCAGACTCCTGCACCAGCGGGTCAGCAAACCAGATGACACGTAGTACTCGTGCTGGTATCGAACCTCTGCTCATCCTTGATGTACTCCTCCTGCAACTGAATGTACTCCAGTTGTCTTTGCAACTTTTTCAATGTGGCATAGTCATCACCTCCTTCTGTCGCGATGCCCTCGAAGTTCTCAATACTAGGGATTGTTGAGGGAGCCGTCTTCTTGTGAGGGGCGACTTGGTTGGCCGGGTTTTCGACCAAGACGTCACCCATTGTGTCGGATATTCGGGTGGTATTAAAAGGGTGGGATAATGACTTTAGGTAGTCGAGATGCCTCGAAGTTCGTAGGGGATGGGAGCTGGCGGGGGGTGGGCGGTGTCGTTGATGATGGCAAGGTTGTTGATTTCAAGCTTGGTGGTGGGCGTGGTTGCTTGCTCGAGCTTGCCTGTAGGCGTCAGTCGGATACGCATGCAGCCTCTCAGCCCAGCCCAGCTTAGTCAGGAATCTGATCGGAGCTCTGGGGTCACGTGCTGGCGGGATTCCAGGCAGGCCCCACTAGGCGTCCTTTGGTTGATTGATTGGCTCAGCAGATGGCCTGGAGCAAGGCGAAGTGCCTGCAGTTTGGTGACCTGGTTGGAGGCAGCGACGACCTCCGATTGGCTTGGTCTGAGGACGCCTGCCCCCCATTTACTGTGGAGACGGCACAGGATCCCTGCTGATGATGCGAGGGTCTCTCCCGCAATTCCACTGTTAGAGTCGTCGGTGAGTGTCACAGTCGGTCCTTAGCACGGCCTACTACTCCGGCACCTATCTCTTATCAACCCCCCATGGGATGATGTGTTCACCGGCCGGGTGCCTCGTTGGGCCTTCGTCCAGCATGTACACCTAGCACTGTACAGTCACAGGCACACCTTCTCTCCATTCTCGTACCTTTAATCCCACTTCTGGCTCCTTCATCATCTTCTTCGCTTCGACGCTGCACTGGTTCTCTACACATGACAAGCCGTTCGGTGTGCGTTCTCTCGTGCTTCTCCTCGATCTTTCCGACTGCTTTCAATCACTCTTGAACTTTATCGTCTCATCTCGGGGTCTTCCCTCTGTTCCTCTTGCAAACCACATACATCATGTCGTCGTCGATTGCAATCCCGATGACCCCGTCGTCGGCCAACACATATCACCACCACCAGTCACCCCAGGTCCGGGGTGGTGCTAGCTCCTCCTCTTCGACGTACTCCAGTTCGCCTCGAACATCTTCCCCAACTTCCGCTCAGAAGCGAAAGATGGTTCACGAACGTCGTCCCAGCCTTCTCAGTAAGTCATCCCACTTTCCTTGGAAGCTACACAGCCCGGGCCTTGCAGCCTTGCCCGATATGCCTGTCTCGGACTCTGTACATGCCAACTTGGGACCTTTACTTACACCACGGATAGGCTCCGCCTTGTCGAAGCAGGAAAGCACCGTTATCAACATCGGCGAACCGAACGGAACTCCCCGCCTTGTAAGACCACTCGCGTCATCCTCAAGGGACACATGCTAACAGCCAACCCAGATCACCTACCTCTCCTCCAGTCAGGGCTTTGCGTGGAACCCAGGTGAGTCAAGGTTGAACGAGCCTCTAACCCCGCTATCTGCTGACCACTTTGTTCAGAGATCTTCCTGCCGTCGTATGTCGATTGCGACTACACCCCGCTCGAGAATAGACGGGAGCCCGTACACGAGATTGTCCTCAGCGATGAGGAGATCAACAACATGTTCCCTCAATAACGGCGTCCTCCAGAGGCGGCCATGACGCTCGCTACACATGAAATCTACGTCCTGAGCGCTTAGACCGACGATTCTCACGAGACACATTTTCTTTCCACATCACGGCGTCCGGCCACGACCTGTACCCCCTCCGACTCTTTTACACTATTTTATCAGACTGCTTTACGAACGAACCACCACGGCGGATGGGCCCATGTTCGAACCGGACACGGACGAGCATGGGAATACACTGAGTGGAGACACAGTACATCCCGCATCTCCTTCATCTTGACATTGAGGCGCTATTAGTTGCACCGGCCTTTGGGAAACATCGGGGGAGTTGGGATCGTTTTGGCGAGACGGGTTTCATTGAATTAAGTTATATCTCTTATCTGCTTGTTGCCGTTTGCTTTTCTTTTGGATTGGGGCGTTCCACGGGATTGCAAGCACATACCCTCTTCTCACCCTCGATCGTGTACAATGCCGCCTTTGCCGCGGTTTTCCCTTTTCATTGATTTCCCACGAGTTCCATAGTTCAATAGCGTCACAAGGACACTATTCAAGTCAAAGCCTTCCGTCACCGTGATCCACACATTGTCCTGACCTATGGCGTAAATTTGAGCCTATCAAGCATATTCCTGTCTCCGTTTCTACGAGAGTTCGGGCAGCCAAGGTAGCGCAGAGCCGGCAAGGTACGACGTCAGGGTCCACGGGTAACGTCGGAGTAATTGGGCAGACCGGCCGATGACCAACCACCCGTCTCCCCTCAGTTGCAGCCACTAAGTGCATGCCTTACTGAGAGCCCAAGATACAATCGTAAAATAAGTGCAAACAGTATCATGTTGATCTAGAAAATCGATGAAACGGGCCCCCTTCAACTTCTGACTCGAAATCTCTCTCACCGTTAGCCCCCCGCGCACTGTCGTCGGTGTGGCCTGTTTGGACGCCATTCCGTCCCAGATGGCGTTCTGAGAAAGAGGGTCCAGAGTTCTGTACCTTACTGTGTAGGTACTCCATCTTGTCCAGACCGTGGAGGACCGCAGCGCCCGACCGCCAGGCCCGGCGCTACTGTACCTTCACCGCACACCCGAGGACCACACCTAACCCCTTCCAAGCCAAGCAGCTCCGTTTTCGCTGTAGGCAATGTGCTTTCCCAGTCCTGGAAAAGGAAATCCCCACGCTGTGACATCAGGATTGCGGGTTGTGTAAGTGCGAAATGCATTTCCCTCTGAACTTTCTGTGTAGGTACTCGTTGCGCCGCTGAGGAAACCCTCAAGGTCATGGAGACAAATGACAAAATGACCTCTGGGAAGAATACGGTACCAGCAAACCTGGAAGACTGAGAAGAATGCATGTCCCGGTTCTTTCCCTCGCTGTGCGATAATATGCTGGTTCCCGACCTGGGAGGCGGTTTAGTTCACTCTTTGACACAAACAGCGTTTACCCCGGCTACATCAACCAGCTGAACCATCCCGTAAACCCTCGCCCCGCAATTTTCATCGTGAGCCGTGGGAGACTACGGAGTACGGAGTACTATGTAAGGTACTCCTCGGCCTAATAAAATAGGGCTTTATAAGTGGCGTTCTCTATTTACTCGGGAATAAAATCTATAATAGGGGATTTATAACACTTAGAATATTTACTAAAAATTCTAAAACTTATACTTGATTAGTACTATAAGAGCTACGTACTTAAGAAGTTACATGGTAGTAAGAGGCTCAATGTTACGCCCGCCGCAACTTGTCACTGTGAGCGCGTAGCCACATAACGCAGAACAAGGGAAAGTGATACGGAGTCATCATTATCGAAGCTTTTGCTTTGTGCCACAGTTGGTTGCCTTGACCTGCTCGTAACACTCAACCGAAGTACGTATCTACTCAGATACAACGCTTTGTACGCACGTACAGCCCGAACGTAAATACGCTTTACATATACATGTTAAAGCGCCGGCAGGCACATATGCCCGTATAAACTTAATAATAAATGCTCGGACTTAAGCACCACATGTGATTACATGTGATATTTGTATTATATATAGACTACACTTTCCCACCATATCATAGAATAATCATCAATACAATCGATTCTCTGATTATTCCAACTCGTACCTCAACTTATTTACTTTTTCCCTTTTTGCCTACCTCTAACCTCTTAGTCTTAGAAGGAGGGTCGTACGGAAGGTGCTAAACTATGCGCATAACGATATAAGAATTGTAAAAAGCCTAGATATAACGTACGAACCTATAAAGTAGTTTGGAATAGTAATGAGGAAGAGGGTAATATATAGTTTTAATTGATTTTATACGTTGTGGCTAAATTAACTTATATAGAAAGTAGAAAGGTCTAAGAGAGTGCGTCGCTCGTTATAATGCGTCGCTTGTCACGGTAGCAGGCAGGTTGTTCGGCAGGTGGATGCTGGGCAGGCGGATCAGACAATCTATTGCTACGGGCAGGCTCTATCCTAAGCAGGTACAGGCTCTGTGTTACGCCCGCCGCAACTTGTCACTGTGGGCGCGTAGCTATATATGCAGAACAAGGGACAATGATGACCGGAGTCATCATTATCGAAGCTTTTGCTTTGTGCCACAGTTGGTTGCCTTGTCCAGCTCGTAACACTCTGTTGACAAGACGTAGCTCAAGGAGCTACGTTTCTGGACATACGCGACAGAATACAGGATGCAGGGTTTTATCCAGCCTCAGGCTTACGTAACCTGGCCACCGGATTACTCAACACCAGCCTCAAGGTTAGGGGCTAGGACAGCGGGTCTGTGACATCGCTTGCTATGTAAGTACGTTAGAGACAATATTAAGGTAGAGTTTAAAAATAAAAAAATAAAAAAATTAAAATTGAAGGTTCTTTTAATTCATTTTAAATATCAATTTTTTAAAATTTATTTTTTATTTAAAAAAGTAAGAATATAAATTTTATATAACGTGGTTTACTAGTCAGCCGCGCATTTCCTTATCGCATACTAAATTGCATATTTACCTAATCTTTTTGAATAATAACTAATTAAAAAGATTTCAGTATCTTCATAATATAGTTATTTGAAATATAACTGGTTAAATTTAATAAAAAAAGACACTTTAATCTTTTTATATTGAAAAAGTAGTGGAATAGAAAAATGAGTCTTTGATAAAGATATAATATATTTACTCTTTCTCTAGATAGAAATTAATTTTTAAAACTTTTTATTTAGTTTAGTGACTCTTATCAAAAACTAATGAAAAAGTTTGAACGTTATATAACCAACAATGAAAAAACATTAATTATATAATGTAGGCGACTTTGTATACAATAAAGAAATGCGTGGCTGACTGGTAAACCACGTTATTTTTAAATTTAATATAGTTAATAAGAGGAATTAAAATATATAAGTTTTAACTTATATATATTAAACCTTTATAATTAAAGATAAGTTAAATTATACGTTTTTTATTATAATAAAAGTAATATTATTAGTTATAGATAAATCTGCTATTATAGGTGTTATCTTTAAGCAAGTAAGGAACGACTTACGAGGTAAGTAGGCCTACTTATAACCGAGGGGTAAGTACGGATAGGAAGCGGTGGTCTTGAAAGTCCTTGAACCACCCCTGGGCTGCTTTGATTCGATGGTGCGGTAAAAGTCGTCCATCCTCTCTTCCCCCCATGCAGGTCCGTCCCAGTTTCGTAGTCATAGCGCCGAGATGCATCATCCCAGACGGACGGGGGGGACTTTCCAGCAAAATGCCAAGTTTGAGAGTGACCGCCGTTCAAAAGTCGAAGGGAGTTTGGGCCATTTGCCTTTCTTATGGCGTCGCTTGTATACCCGGTTCGGCCGGGAAGCAGAAGATGTCGGATGGGTTGGATGGGGTGTGTTGTGTGACTCCCTAGGTATAGGGAAGTGCATCGATGCTATTTTGAACATTGTCCCCGGCTGATGCCGCAAACACAAACCACATCGAATCGTCGTCATTCTTCATGTCTCTCATATATTGACTATCGACGTCGATCCCTTTCCCATCTCCCTTTGAACAAGATCCGAACCGTGGGACCAAGCCCCAGGTTCCGGTGCTGCACCTCGTGACCTTGGCGGATGATCCCATCCTCTTCTTTCCCCCTTGCAGCATTCATTCCTGCAATGCATGAGGGTAAAGCTGTAAGGTAAACTATGAATCTGGGGGGTTTGCTTTTCCTGGCGATCAAATCCGGGCTTGTCCCGCACAGTGCCCACTGCCTACCGTGCCCACCGTCCCTCTCAAAGGGAACTCAACACACTCACCTGGTCTGTGTTCCACACCGAGACACCGCTACCGCTGAACACCTTCGGAGCCAGTGTCCGATCTCGGCAGTTCTCGGGGTTGGCCGCTGGCGTTGCATTGGGGGGGTCGATTCAGTCAGGTTTATTGGAGTCTGGGGAATGTCACATGCCGATAACAAGATAAGATAGAGATGCGCTAGCCCTCTGGGCTGATAAGGCCAACTGAAAGGTGGGCGCGCTGAGGAAAAGCATAGGCCAGATCGGACGACGGGCTCGACGCGCACCGATGGGGACCGCTGACCGGGGTAGGTGGTGTCGAACTGGACCTACCGTCCCGTCGACCCCCCAAACGGCACCAAACACATGCGCAAGTAAACATCCGCACACCGAGACGAACACATCCCACCACGACGCAACACCCCACCACGCGCCAAACGTCGCGAAATATCGAACTCGAGAGAATTCCCCTTCAAAGGGGCAGACGCCCAGTTACCGGAACCGCTATTTTGAATCCAAATAGTCTGCTTGGCGCGTTAGTATAAAGAGGAGGGAAAGAAAGAAATAAAGACCAAAAAGAGAGGGAGAACGGACAACCATGGAGGACGCCCATAGAAAGATCGAGCTGCAGTCTCGCGACGACCTCGCGTACCTGCTCAACAACGTCCGGCGCGCCGCGCAGGAACAGCTCGACAATGCGTTCCCGCACATCGAGGGCAGCAATGCGCAAGAGGACGAGCTGCGGGCGCCTATTGAGCGTCTGGTCAACGAGGTAAGCTCCTCCCTACAACCTTCCCTTGCCATGCCGCACTTGCTTTCGTGTATTCTGGCAACCCTTCCCCACAGCCTTAACACCAATCCTTGGGGTTTGCCCCCTCCAATGCGAAAGAAGGCGAATCACACCAATCCCAAGATCCTGCTAACACCACGCTCAATACAGTACATCAACAAAACCTTCACCTACGCAGCCCCAAACCTCTCCATAAACGGCATGGACACCGACCCCGCCACCTTCCTCTCCTCCTCCACCACACCCTCCGACGACCCAGAAGAAGCCTACGAACCCTGGGACGCCCGCCTCCGCCAGCGCGTCGAAGACCTCGCCCGCGAAGAAGAGGACCTCTTCAACGAGATCGCCGCCCTGAAAAAAACCGTGCCCGGCGCCATCGCCGCAGCAACGACAAACGAATTTAAAGCCGCCGCCGCGGCGGACGAGGCCGCCTTTGAGGCCGCAAAGAAGGCAAAAGAGGACGAGGCGAGGGAGCTGGAGGCGGAGGTGCTGCCGCTCGAGGCGATGGAGAGGAGGGGCGAGGTGAAGGAGGCGTTTGGGGGCGCGGTGGGCGGGTTAGGGAGGTTGAAGAAGAGTATGCCTGCTACTGTTGCCAAGATGGAGAGGGCGAGGGTTGCGGGGGAGTATACTGTCACGGAACGGTCGTAAGGGAAATATGGCGAGGGGGGATTTTTGACACCATTGGAGTTACGGCGTTGGGAAATTATACCACGACAAAGGGCATCTGCCAGAGAGCTGGTGGCCCATAGGCAGTGCTTATTGTGTATATGATGATAGCAGTCTAGTAAAAGCCTGGAAAGAAAAAAGGTCAAGATCTGCTCGTGAATATGCCACTCATAGGGGCCCAATGATCAGAATGAAAGTATGTATAATGTGAAATAGCAGAGTTTGCCAGGATCAACACGTGTATGAGCGGTTCTAAGAAAAGATGCTCTTGTTTTTAGGTAGCCACCCCCATCTTCCACCCAACCCAGCGTATCTTTCTTCGCCTCAAGACACAACACCACATTTGTCAACGCCTCTCTCTCTCTCTCTCTCTAACTGCTCATCCGGCAGCGCCGTTCGCGAATCACGACCTCAATTCCAATGCACGCAATTTTCCTAAGAAAGGCAGCGTTTATGCCGCAGCGGGAGCCTTGGCGTCAGCAGTAGCATCGGCCGTAGGAGCAGCGCCGGCAGCCGGAGCAGCAACGGTCTCGCCACCCTTGTTATCAATGACGTCGCCGGCGGCGGCAGCGGCCTTGGCCTCGGGCTTCTGCCACCAGGGCTCCTTGGTCCACTCGGCCTCGTGCCACGGGCCGGCGTCGCTGAGCTGGCAGCCGCCCTGGCACTCGCACTTGCCACCGAGGGACTTGGGCAGATTCTCGGCGGGAATCTGGTTCAGGAGCTCCTTCGTGTAGCCGGAGCCGAGGATGTTGATCTTGGAGACGGTGACGGGGTCGAGCCAGCCCTTGACGACGGACCAGACGGTGGAGAAGCCCCAAGGAGCGTTGATCATGTAGAGCTTGCCGAGACGCTCGGGGTAGTAGTTCTGGGAGACGACGGAGGCCTGCTTGACGTAGCTGTAGACCTGGGGGACGCGAGTGATGGTGACGCCCTTGAGGTCCATGATGGTGCAGCAAGTCTCGACGAGGTGTTTGGACTTGCGCGAGCAGGCGGGGAAGCGGGGGTCGGCGCACTTCTCGTACTCGACGGCCAGGTTGGTCAACATGCGCTCGGCGGTGGTGATCTTGTACATGGCGTTTAGGTCGATGCCACCAAGCTGCTCGATGTAGACGGGGCGGCCATCCTGTGAAGTCATGCGTTAGTGGGTGAGTCTACCGATCAGGGTGTCTCGTGCTCAAGGCGGCGTACCTTGTCGGTCTTGTGGTAGTACTGGGGGTAGAACTTGAACACCTCCTCCTTCTCGGGGTATTCCCAGTTCGGCACGGTGTTGTCAAGCTTGGTTGTTTTCCGCCAGGTCTCGAAGTCGACGAACCTAGATCACATCAGTCAGCTATTTGTTGTACGATCTGATGCGGAAGACGAGACACCGCTTACATCTGCTTGGCGAGGTTGACATCGAACTTGCGAGCGCGGAGGAAGCGAAGCTATCATTCAGCTGTTAGTCGTCTGAATATGAAACTCGCAGGCCTTGCCTTCTGTCTTGCTGCGTTTCTGCTACAAGATGGGAGTGAATACCAGAGTAAGGGTGTCGAGGCGCTTGTCATAGCCGTCCGACTCAAGCATCAGGCGCAGCTGAGCGACCTGGGCCTTCTGCTCGGGGGTGAGATGGCCAGGGTGACCGTTGGCCGCCGTCGGGGCGACGGTCGGGTAATCGTACTGGTCGTACTTGGGATCGAGTTCTTGCTGGGACATGGTGGGGTTCGTTTTAGGGGTCTTCTCGTAGACGAGGGAAGAAGATCGGTGTAGCAAGAGGGATTTTGCAAAGGCGCAAAATATAAAAAAAGGGCGGGGTGGAGGAGGAGAGGTGATGGGATTCAGAGACCACTAGGACAACAGCAACAAGTTATTTGTCCTGAAGAAAGTTGCCAACCAGGATTGTAGGTGTTTAGGAGAGAGAGAAGAGCTGGTTGTGGGGAAAGGTAAGGGAAAGGAAGATCTCTAGTGGGAAAGTAGGGGAGGCTTGGGAAGTCGAATTAAAGTGAACCTGCTGGCAGAATGCCAAAAAATCGTCATAGCGACCGGTCCCGCACCGCTGTTGCCCCTGGCTGCCCCTCACGAATTGGGCTCCTCCCGCCGTCGAACCTACCCGGCCGTCTACACCGCACTTACGCAGCTACACACCCACGGCGCCACGGCACCCGCATCTTGTTAAGATACGAAGTACGTATGTCTTCCACCACAGCCCAGCCTTACGTAATGATCTGGATTCCCACCCACGAGCAGCCAGAGCCGCTGTAAGTTGGTGCTGTTTGCCATGCCAAACATCGTCTCAGATCTTGGCTTGCGGGCGTTGTTCATCGTAGTCATGATTCGGTCACGGTCAGCTGCACCGGGCGCAAAATCAGTGCCAGTGGTATCAATATGGCGGCTGACGGCTAAAACTTACCTTGGATTAGCTAACCTCGGACGATTTTCTGACAGGTTGGCCACCGGGGATTAAACATCATTCGTGCATACCTTAGCTGTGCTGTGACGCTGTATCGGTAGTCTACGATTTTGTACAGCACAAGCGCAAACCAAACCTCTAAGTTCGCTTTCGTGATCGTTACAATGCCATTTAGGGGTATCGATAGTCGGTGGCCTTCAGCCGCGACTTTGAAATTAAATCATCTACGTGACCCTGGTCGGGATTCGTAAGCTTGCAGGGCTCTTGCTTGAATCAACGGCTGAACGATCCGGCCTTCTTGTGGCCTTGTGAAAAAAAAAAAAAAAAAAAGCTGGTTTATGCTGTGCCGCAAGATTGTGTTTGTGCAAATAGTGGCAGAAAATCATCAAGTTGTATTTGGTTTGGTATCGAAATTTTCGCTTTTTAACTGCCGTCCTTGCCCTCGTCCTTTTCCTTCTTGATATCCTTTCCTTCTTCCTTGTCTTTCCGCTTTTGAACGACCTCCCAATTGTATACTCTCGCGATCGCGACTTCCATAGTCTGTGATATGAATTAGCATGCGCGGTCGAGCCCACCTGGGTGTTAAACATACCGTGATCTGCTCTCTCAAGAAATCCAGGTCCTCCTCGCAGTTTGATAAGCTCGTTTTCGCCGTTGATAGCTTGGACTCGAGCAAGGTCTCGGCTTCGTCGACGGGGTACGACAACATGACATTTGCCTGTTTACACAGTCAGCCTTCCAAGCCCATGATATCGTCTACCCATGAGCAGTTCATCGACGTACGCCTAGCCAAATGTACACCTCCTCCGTGGGCGGGACCTTTGCTTTGGAGTAGAGCGTATCGTTCAGCTCAAACGTCGTCTCGATCGGTTCATCGTCGTCCTGCATAGCGTATCAGCATCTCCTGTCAACCAACGCATCGGTAATGCGGCTGTCTTGCATGTAGATTCCCTACCTGTCTGAGCTTCAAAAACCGCACCGAATCGAGAGTCTTTTGGATATCGGGAATCTTGTCGTTCAGTCCAGCCATCCTCTTCTGGAGATTCAGCTCCATGAACTGGTATTTCCTGTGCGAAAATGTGATTTGTTACCAGCTGTTCCCCGTGGCCTAGTCTTGCCTTCCCGGTAGCCTCGTTCGATGCGTCGGACCGAAGTTCTGTGCTGCCCGGCGGGCGGGCGGGCGCGTGGGCGACTTACGAAATCATCTCCTGGAAGTTGCGCATCGTCGGCTCGACATCCTCGCGGGTGGTGACGTAGTCCTCGACCTTGTCGACGAACGGTGCCTTGGGGATACCTCGAGGGTTGCTAGGCGTGGCGTCCTTGCTGTGGTTAAAATAAAACAGTCAGCTTGTGCGCGGCGAATAGTAGAGTCAAGAACATACACAGCCGTCTCCGGCTTCTTTCCCTCTGCCGACATTGTGAAATTGAGCTGATGTTGCCTTCAGCGCATCTTCTGATGTTTGGTAGGAACTCGCGATTTTTCCGCTACGGTGTGGAGGGGGAGCTGCAGTGACGGTCCGCCGCACCGCCCAATCTACGGTGGCCTGTTCACCGAGGTGAGGGGTCGAAGTACATGCTTGGTGGGGTAGCTACCACCACCACCTAAGGTAGCCAAAGCAGAGGTGATGTGAGGTAAGCTATCGCTCCTGGCTGTTACAGCTATCGCAAGTCACCTCACTTCTTAGTTACAAAGATTCTGGCAGTAATTTGACTGGAGTAGTAATACTTGAATATACATGACAAATAAAGACCAAATACAACAGTATGAAATTCGTAGAACCCGAGTTCAAGCAAATACACTTGTCAATCACCACTAGCTTATAACTTATAACATGGCATCGAAGCATTCAACAACGTGTGAAGGGATATTGAATCCAGCCTCGATTTCGACAAAGCAGTCAAACCCATATCGACGATTGTGCAGGCTTTGAAGGATGAGGGAAAGCCTCGCCGACTACCTCATAACCGCGCTGCCGCGCTTAACCAGCTTACTCATCAAGGTGAACCCTCACCGCCGCTATAAACGGCTTAGCAACAGCACGCCATGACCGCCCTGCATGTCCCCACAGACAGCTCGCCTTATCTGTGTCTGGGGGGTGGCTTCTTGATAAATAATCTCATTGAGCTTAAACCGGGACAAGCCAAATAAATGGTCGCCGATTTCCCTTTGAACCCTCGCCGACGAACTTCACCTCACCCGCATTCCCCGAAGACCAATTGTCCCCCGTTACGCCCTCTAGTCCCTCGAGGTCTCGACCTATTCTAATCTTGAGCTGTGAAGTTTTCTATCTCTTCTCGAGAAACGGGATTTCCCCAACGGACCTTTCTGAGGGCGCGCACCGATCAACGGTGGCGGGGCAAAGTGACAGAGTGAAGCTCGGCAAACAGACCGAAACGAGAACTGCAGAAAATGGCGGACGCGGCGGTTGAGCCCGAGATCGTGGGCGGTGCCCTGCAGATGGCCAAGGACCTCTTTTCTGGCGCCGCGGGCGGTGTCGCCCAGGTCTTGCTCGGTACGTTTTGTTTTCGCAAACATATGAGAGGAAGAGGTTGGCGATGAGATGAGCTTGAGATGGCCCTTTTTGAGCCGACTTCGGAATCACAGCCGAACCTCACTCACCGGCGCCCTCAGCGTCCACAACCTCATTCTCACTCAATTCACCCTCACAGAACTCCTATGAAGCTCCAATACTATCAGAGTTTCGAAATTATATAATCAATTGAGAAAAAGCTAACACCGCGCAGGCCAACCCTTCGACATTGTAAAAGTCCGTCTCCAAACCTCAACAACCCCAACAACAGCCCTCAACGCCGCAACCCAAATCTACAAAAACGAAGGCGCCCTCGCCTTCTACAAAGGAACCCTCACCCCGCTCCTCGGCATCGGCGCCTGCGTCTCCATCCAATTCGCAGGCTTCCACCAAGCCCGCCGCTACTTTGAAACCCGCAACGGCTCGACGGGCCCCCTGTCGTACGCCCAGTACTACGCCTCGGGCGCCTTCGCCGGCGTCGCTAACAGCGTCATCTCAGGCCCCATCGAACACGTCCGCATCAGACTGCAAACCCAACCCCACGGCGCCGCGCGGCTGTACTCGGGCCCCCTGGACTGCGTCCGCAAACTCGCCTCCCACGGCGGGATGCTGAACAACGGCCTCTACCGCGGCGAAGCCGTCACGATCCTCCGCGAGGCGCAGGCGTACGGTGTCTGGTTCCTGGCGTTCGAGTGGATGATGAACGCCGACGCGCGGCGCAACGGTATGGATCGCAAGGATATCGCGCCGTACAAGATTGCGTTTTACGGCGGTCTGGCGGGCGAGGCGCTGTGGTTAAGCAGTTACCCGTTTGACGTGATCAAGAGCAAGATGCAGACGGACGGGTTCGGCAAGGAGCAGCGGTACAAGTCGATGCGGGATTGTTTTGCGCAGACGTACCGCGGCGAAGGTTTGCGCGGGTTCTGGAGGGGTATTGTGCCGACGCTGTTGAGGGCTATGCCTGTTAGTGCGGGAACGTTTGCTACGGTTGAGTTGACTATGCGGGCTATCAGCTGAGCTTTCACTTAGAAAGACGAGAGGACGGAATGCATGAGATGGGGATATCTATCTTGAGATCCATTTACTAGAATATGCACACGCTGAGGTTTTGGCAAAAATAGAATCGTTCAGGGTCATGAATTTTCTAGGATCTATCATGACAGCCTGTAATAGTATTGCATCTGTAATACATTGCCCGATATCGGTCTCGTCCCGAGTAGATCTGAGCGTGCTGCAAGAGAAAACCCAGTCTATTCCTTGTTTTCCACCCTCCGCTGCAAAATATGCCTAGCGTTCGCGGGAGTAAGCGTGTCAATGTCCAGTTCTTCCAACAACTTCTTGGCTTCCGTGTTATCAGTAAACACCCGATCCGTGGCATCCTTGAGCGACAAAGTGCCCTCCTGGGGTTCGTTCGGGAGGTTGAGAAGTTTCAGCGCGTCAAACAGGCTACCCAATGACCCTACACCGTTCTGGATATACCTCTCAATAAGAGAGAAGATTGCGTTGACGTCGCGCGTGAATTGAGCGGCACCAAACGCAGTGAAGCTCTGCCTCATCAAGACCTCGCCCCAAAGTAGGTCTTGGAGTTTGTCCAGTGCGGAGCGCCATGTCCGCCGGAATGCTGCTGTACCGATAGCTTTGAGTAGGAAGTCAAAGTTCCGCTTGAGGATCTGGTCAAGGTTAGGAAAGACGTCGAAAGTTGCGCTGCGGGAAGACTTACTCTCAAGGGCTCGTCGAGCTCTGGCGTAACAGCCAGTTGCGACGGATCGACTGTTGACCTGTTAGCGTCGTGCATGATAACGGGTTGAAAGTAGGCAACTCACTCTCAGAACCACCGTCACTAATGGTTGTCCAGTGCGTCCGTGTGGCAT